TTTGAGGGACAGGGGGATATGGGATTTGGGATGGGGTTGTAAGCAGGTGGGAGATGTGGGATACAGTTGCAAGGACTGATGGATACGGGATGTGTATGTGAGTGAGCAGCAGGATGAGGGCCATGGATGGGGAAGGAAGCTGGCAGGGATGGGAACTCAGGTGGGATACAGGACATGGATGTGAGCACAGTGTGGATGGGAGTGGCAGTGGGATTGGATGAGAGGACAGGAGGGTTGGATGTGAGTGGGTGGTGGGATTGGATGAGTGGACAGGGGGATTGGATGTGGATGGGCAGTGGGATGTGGACAGGAGCAGGCAGTGGGGTTTGGGATGCAGGCAGGAGAAGGCAGTGGGATTTAGGATGCAGGCAGGAGCAGGCAGTGGGGTTTGGGATGTGGACATGAGCAGGCAGTGGGGTTTGGGATGCAGGTAGGAGCAGGCAGTGGGGTTTGGGGTGCAGGCGGGAGCAGGCAGTGGGGTTTGGGGTGCAGGCAGGAGCAGGCAGTGGGTTTTGGGGTGCAGGCAGGAGCAGGCAGTGGGGTTTGGGGTACAGGCAGGAGCAGGCAGTGGGATTTAGGATGCAGGTAGGAGAGGCAGTGGGGTTTGGAATGTGGACATGAGCAGGCAGTGGGGTTTGAAGTGCAGGCAGGAGCAGGCAGTGGGGTTTGGGATGTGGACATGTGCAGGCAGTGGGGTTTGGGATACAGGCAGGAGTAGGCAGTGGGGTTTGGGGCGCAGGCAGGAGCAGGCAGTGGGGTTTGGGATGCAGGCAGGAGCAGGCAGTGGGTTTTGGGGCGCAGGCAGGAGCAGGCAGCAGGCCCGGGCAGCCCCCCCGCCTCCCTCCCTTGGCCCCGGTGGAGCTGCCTCAGCACAAGGCGGCAGCTGGGCCTGGCTCTGCCGCCTGATGCGGCCGATGATTAATGACCGTTAATTAGTGCCTTTAATCGAGCTGGGCAAACGGTGCCGGCGAGGGGATGGAGAGGCCCCGTGCCAGGGGGGCACTTGAGGAGGGGGCTGCGCTGCCTCCTCCCCCCGCAGAGCTTCGGAGGGGGCCGGGATATCCAGCCCGGTCCCAAAGCTGCGGTGGGGGCCGGGATTTGGGGACAATGCCTGGCCGTGTGACTGCCGGCAGCTGTCAGGAAACCTCTCCTGACCGGGAAATGCTTCCCCTGCCCCGGGATGGCCGCGGGACCCCGGCCGGGGAGGCTGGAGGCGGCTCTGGACCGGAGGGATGGAAAAAGGATGGGAAGGAGCGCTGGAGCTGGGCAGCATCGCCCTTCCCAGGGCACCCGAGGGCTGGCAGAGCAGTCGGTGGCCAAATCACCGCCAGCAACGGTGGGCTGTGGGTCGGATACATCCCTAGGGAAGCACAGCCTGGTGGGGTGTGTTGGTCCTCCCCCCCCCGTACCCCTTCGTGGAGGGGGGAGCTGCTGCTTCACCCCGAAGTGCCTCTGCGTCCCAATCCCTGCGGAATGCCGGGTTGGGAACTGGGCGCAGGCGTGTCCATGTGAGTGTGGGTCCCTCTGCTGGCACCTCGGGGCGCCGGACCCCGCCGTGCCACCCCCGCTGTCTCCCCAGGGACCATGCGGCCCGTGCGGAGGAACTTCTACGACCCCTCCTCGGCTCCGGGCAAGGGAATCGTGTGGGAATGGGAGAACGACAACAACTCCTGGACTCCCTACGACATGGACATCTGCATCACCATCCAGAACGCCTACGAGAAGCAGCACCCCTGGCTGGACCTCTCCTCCCTGGGCTTCTGCTACCTCATCTACTTCAGCAGCATGTCCCAAATGAACCGGCAAACGCAGCGCAAGCGGCGGCTCCGGCGCCGCATGGACCTGGCCTACCCCCTCACCATGGGCTCCATCCCCAAATCCCAGTCGTGGCCGGTGGGCGCCAGCACGGGGACCCCCTGCTCGTGCCCGCAGTGCCTGCTGGTCAACAGCACCCGCGCCGCCTCCAACGCCATCCTGGCATCGCAGCGCCGCAAACTCTACCCCGGCGCCGTCCGGCAGAGCAGCACCTTCGCCGGGGGGGCCCTGTGGCCGCCGGGGCCGGCGGCGGGGGCGGGGGGCACGGCCAAGGGCGAGGGGCTGCGGGTGCCCGGCGCGGGGTTCGCCCCCGGGCAGAGTGTGCCCGGCGCGGCGCTGACCGGGCTCAACAACCTCAACCGGCCCGGGACGCAGCGCGGGGCCGGACTGGGCGCCAGGGCCGCCGTGCCCCCGGGGTAAGCGGGGCGGGGGTGGCACCCGGGAGGGGGGGTACGGGGGTGATGGAGGTGCCTCGTCCCCCGTTGGCACGAGCAGCCCCAGCCCGGGTGGCACCGTGCCACCTCCAGCCCCGGGGTGCCCACCCTGGGGACGTGCTGGCGGGAGGGACGCCAGGCTCACCCCGGGTGGCCCCGGGATCGCTGCGGAGGGGGTGTGGTGATCCGTGCCGTGCCATGCCGTGCCACGCTATCCATGGCAGCCGGAGGACGTGGGGTGCCTACTCCCCGGAGAATTGTGTCCCCCGTGGCCAGAGGGGGGGTGTGTGACACAGCTGGTGGCACGATGCCACCAGGCAGGTCCCTGGGCAGGGAGCACAGCTCCCGTGTCCATGTGGGAATGACTCACGGAGGGCAGGTGGGTGGGTGAGGAGACCCCTGGGGGGGTGTCCTGGGGGGGGTCCCTGTCCTGGCACCCACGTCCCCACGGCTGTACCCCTCGGGGGGTTGTCCTGATGTCCCCTCAGGGCCCTTGGCACGGGGCTGGGAGGTGGGGTCTGAGGGGTCAGGTGGGGTCACTGAGCAGCCCCTGGCACGTTTCCTTCCCCTCTGATGTCCTGCTTTGGCCCCCACGTGCCACGTGATGGGCTGAGCCGTCCCTGTCCCTGTCCCTGTCCCTGTCCCTGTCCCGGCACACAGGTCCCATCCCACGCGCCCCCATGGACAGGTAAGAGGGGACCAGGAACGCCCTGGTGGGGGCTGAGCCGCTGGCCTTGGTGGGAGTGAAGGAGCCTTTGGGAACGTGAGGGAAAACGCCCCCAGCCGCGGGTCCTGTGAGGCTGAGCACTGCTGAACTCATCACTGCCATGGCCGGGGCACGGGGGCTCTGAGGGCAGGAAGGGGAATGATGCCACTGGTGGGGGCTGTTCCCATCCCCCAGGGCAGGAGCACTTGGGCACAGGGCTCTGCTGAGCTTTGCTCCTTGTCCTTCATCCCAGTGCCCGCCCCAGTCCTTCCTTCCTTTCCTTTCCTCCTTCCCTCCCTCCCTTCCTTCCCTCCCTTCCTTCCTCCCTCCCTCCCTTCCTGCCTTCCTCCTTTCCTTCCCTTCCTTCCCCTCCCTCCATCCCACCCCCCATGGACACCCCATTCCCGTGGCGATGTGGGACACCCGATGTCACCATCGGGACACCCCGATGAAGCTCCACCCTGGGTCAAGGATGACGTGATGTCCCCAGTGCCATCGGGTGCCCAGGGATGGATGGGTGGCACTGGGTGACAACTCCGCGGGACAGGACACCCTGCCCCGTGTCCCGTGGGCAGGACACTGCCTGGTGACAGTGCCACCCCCGTGGGATTGGACAGGAGTCCCCCAAGCTGGCAAGGGGACACCTTGCCCTGTGTCCCATGGGGAGCTGGGGACAGTGCCAGCCCTGTGGGATAGGACAGCAGTCCCTCAAGTTGGTAAGGGGACGCTGTGCCCTGCATCCCCCGGGGGGGGCACTACCCTGGGGACAGTGCCAGCCCCGTGGGATGGGACAGGAGCCCTCCAAGCTGGTGAGGGGACACCCTGCCCTGTGTCCCACGAGGCTGGCACTGTCCCCAGGGACAGCAGCCCCCCAGGGCTGGTGAGGGGACACCCTGCCCTGTGTCCCGTGGGGAGGACGCTGCCCTGGGGACACGCCATGTGCGGAGGGCACAGTGCCAGCCCTGCCAGCCGGGCTGAGCCCCTTCCCCTCCCCTCTCCGTGCAGGGTCCCGGCCCTCCCGGTCAAGAACCTGAACGGCACCGGCCCCGTCCATCCCGCCCTCGCAGGTAAGGGCGGTCCGGCCGCCGGCTGTGTGTCACCGCCGGGTGACATCGCGGGCAGGGCACGGGGCCGGGCCGCTGCCAGGCGGCGGGAAGGACGGACGGACAGACAGACAGACAGCCCCTTTCCCCGGTGCAGGGATGACGGGGATCCTCATGTGCGCCGCCGGGCTGCCCGTGTGCCTGACCCGCGCCCCCAAACCCATCCTGCACCCGCCGCCCGTCAGCAAGAGCGACATCAAACCTGTGCCCGGAGTGAACGGCATCTGCAGGAAAACCAAGAAGAAGCAGCTCAAGAAGAGTGAGGAGCCACCCGTGTCCCTGGGATTGGAGCCACCCGTGTCCCTGGGATCAGAGCCACCTGTGTCCCTGGGTCACTGGAGCCACCCGTGTCCCTGGGATCAGAGCCACCCATGTCTCTGGGATCAGATCCACCCATGTCCCTGTGGGATCAAAGCCACCCGTGTCCCTGGGATCGGAGCCACCCGTGTCCTTGGGGGCTCAGGGACATCAGGACGTGCCAATTCCTGGGGGGGGGGGGGGCCAGGGAGGCAGGGTTGTCCCCATCCTGGGTGGGAGTGTCAGAGCTGTCCCCATCCCGGTGGCAGGGGGTGGAAGGTTTGTCCCCATCTTGGTGGCAGGGAGTGGCAGGGCTGTCCCCATTGTGGGTGGAAAGGTTGTCCCCATGGTGGTGGCCGGGGATGGCAGGACTGTCCCCATAGTAGGTGGCAGGTCTGTCCCCATCGTGGTGGCAGAGGGTGGCAGGGCTGTCCCCGTCCCAGTTGCAGGGGATGGCAGGGCTGTCCCCATCCTCGGTGGCAGGGCTGTCCCCACTGTGGTGGTAGGGGGTGGAAGGTTTGTCCCCATTCTCGTTGACAGACGGGGCTGTCCCCATCCCGGTCACAGGGGGTGGCAGGGCTGTCCCCATGCCGGTGGCAGGGGGTGGAAGGTTTGTCCCCATCCCGCTGTAGAGGGGTGGCAGGGCTGTCCCCATCCCGGGTGGCAGGCGGTGGCAGGGCTGTCCTGATCCCGAGGGCAGGCGGTGGCAGGGCTGTCCCCATCCTGCTGTAAAAGGGTGGCAGGACTGTCCCCATGCCGGTGGCAGGGGGTTCTGGGCACCGCGGGCAGGCTCTGACGCCCTCCCTTCCCCTCCTGTGCCCGCGGCAGGCAAGACCCCCGAGGACGTGGTGCGCCGGTACATCCAGAAGGTGAAGAACCCCCCGGACGAGGTGAGCGGGCACCCGGGGTGGGCACAGCGCCGTGGGGGGGGAGCCGCTCATCCCAGCGGGACGCTGATCCCGGCTCTCCCGATCCCGGCAGGATTGCACCATCTGCATGGAGCGGCTGGTCACCTCCTCCGGCTACGAGGGCGTCCTGAGCCCCAGGGGCATCAAGCCGGAACTGGTGGGCAAGCTGGGCAAGTGCGGGCACATGTACCACCTGCTGTGCCTGCTCGCCATGTACAACAACGGCAACAAGGTGCGCGCCCCCCGGGATGGGGGGGATGGCGGGAGGGGGTGGGGGGTGTTGGGAGGTGCTGGGAGGTGTTGGGTGGGTGCTGGGTGGGTGTGGGAGGTGCTGGGAGGTGTTTGGGG